CAGTCACTCCAAGAGGATAAAATCAGTCATGCGGGCATGCCAAACAAGTGACGTGATGCCAGTTGTTCAGAAATAGTTTTATAATATATGTTTTAACATACGTTAGTATTTTTTTTTCCTTTACAGAATTCACCTAGAAATTAATCACAGCAAGACTGTGATAAACTGCTCTCCAAAGAGAGTACAAAAGACTAACCAGGATTTCCAGAGTGAAAAGCTGACCACTGGACACTTATTCTCCTGACAGGATAATATCAAATTGAAAAAAACCAAGATATACCCAATCTATTCAATTAATTGGCAAGGGCCAAAACACCTAAAAATCACCAGCCTAACAAGATGGCATCTAATAACTTGCCACCCTAACAAGTCAAGTACCAACACAGAAAATTCAAGATACTATATAGCCATTTCAGCTATAAAGGAAATCTTATATATTCCATTATTTTCCTATGTATCTCTCACAGGTTGGACTATCTGTGTCATAAATCATAGTTAATCTTGTAAACATCGATTCTAAGTACAACAAACATTAGATTTATTGTTCTTCCAACTAGCAGACTTTCAGTGTTAATTACTTAAAAATCATTATTCAACAAATCAATATTTCTTTGTTACTCACAGGATATAAGCCACCAGAAAGGGCCTTTCCAAGAAGAATTAGATCAGGTCTCACATTTTCATGGTCAACAGCTAGCATTTTCCCTGTTCTGGCTAAACCAGTCTGTACTTCATCAGCAATGAACAGAACCTTTACAGAGACAAAAAGAAGAAAAATCCACACATAACAGAGAATGCCTTTCACTCCCATTCCTAACTCAGTTGGAACAGTACAGCGTAATTGCACACAGTAAGCGAAAGACCTTCCAGCTGCATTACCCCAAGTACACAAAGGTACCTCCCTTATCTCCTCTAAGCCTCCTGGAGGCTTACATATTCCATTAAATGTGAAACTACTAACGAGCGAACGTACTGTCCTCTCTCTCCAACATCTTTAGCCTATTCTTTTCTACGTAAGGCATAGTCCACATAGGGTTGGGCACTGTGCAACCAAAATCTATTTGCAATATAACGAGTGGGATTTCCAAAAAGTTAGGATTCATGTATCATTCATACACTGACCTTTGGAATCTTCTGAAAAACGCCGTTTTAGCAACTCTGCAGGTCTTGCAGTCTGATGTCTATGAGTCTAAATAATTCTGAGAATGTAAATCCAAGTTTTTGATCTTGTTTTCCTAAGCTGCTCTATTGTCACGTACTACTATTTGTAAAATAACTCTTTTTTTTTTTCTGAGAGGTAAGTATCACAGCAACAATGAAGACAACTTTATTAATTGTACGTCAATACCTTCCTCTGAAGGTATACAAGGATTTATGGGTAGCACTTGCAAATTAAGAGTCAGAACTCTGTTGGAACAGAGCCCACTGATTTTTAAATCAGACAGGCAACACCAAGGGACTAAAAAGCTGTAAATCAGCAGAACTTTTTTTGTTTTCTTTACACTTACAAAGTGTGTGGCCTGGGCCTGTGGGAGAGGCTGACCAAACTGGGCCTGGAGTAAGAAGGCATGGCAGCCTGCTTGTGAGAAGCAGCAGTACCCAAAGACAACTGAAGGACATGGAAATACACACAAACACATCTTCCCACCCTTCCAGAGACACTGAAGGCAAGTCTAATTCAGCATGTCTTTACTAGCAGAGAATAGAAATTACAGATCTAACGCCATTTTCAACATGAAGCATTTCTCAATAGAATTCAGACAGGTCATAATATTCAGAATAGGATTCAGGAATATGGTATGAAAGGGAATATTAGAAAATGCTGAACAAAATAACAAAACTGTAAGACCTCTGCTCTTCAGAGATCTCAAGAACATTCATAAGCATGTGACCATTTTCTTCAACGTTTCATTCTGTTACTAACAGAACCCGTTACTGTTACTAACTCGTGGTAGCACTTATGCACTCCAGCAACAAGGTTCCTTGATATGCCATGGTAGAACCACTGTAGTAATTTGCTTCTGGCCCAAGAAACTTATAATGTGAGAAAGAAATTTAAAGTTAAATTAATTTAAAATAAATGCAGTTTCAAGAAGATTCATTAGAAACTTAAATCAGCAACAGCAGTAAGAAACAGTGAAAAACGTGCCCTGCTAAGTACCTCCTGGTAAGGTATTGCCAGGAAATAACAAGAAGTATCCCTACCCTATTCCACTGAATGAAAGGGAAATTATTAAATAGTATATGGAGTCCTGTACCTTGCATACGAGAATGACCTTACAAGATATGCCAGTAAACACAGTGTGTAATGGTTAAGCCACCTCGTTACAGCAAATTCCTTACATTGTGTTTTGTGCAGAGGTCCCGCACTCCGGTGAGATAACCTTTGTCAGGAACAACCACACCTGCTTCGCCTTGAATTGGTTCAACCATGAAAGCTGCTACATTGGGATCTTGAAGGGCCCGCTGTAAAAATAGACATATGGGTAGGAAAGACAAAAAGAAAAAAAAACTTTTACTCAGGTCAAATTTAGAAAATATGGAGATGAATACGTGTAGCAGAACCCAGCTCTAACCCTGGTGTTCTACCTCAAATGATGAGAACAGTGTTCATGTCAGGCAGCTCTCCCTGAGCGCCATTTCGGTTCCAACACAGAAGAAGCCTATGTCCCTATTTGCCTTGACAGGTCAGGTGGTGTGCTTGCTTGGGAATCTACACACCTTAAAAACTGCAAACCCAGACAAGCAGACTATCTGATCAGTTCACAAACTACCTCAGAAATGCACTCAATTTTGTATTTCCCCATACAAGACAAACAATTGCTCAATGCTTCCCTCAAACAAAAAAGAATGGAGCCTCTCCAGAACAATTTTGTCACCTTAAAGCAAAGTCCACAGCCACATTCTTGCACCATCAAGTTCTAAAAAGTTTAGAAGTCCACCAGACTCAAGAGATACAAAGATTACCAGCACAAATTTACTACAGCTTTTCTCAGTATTGCCCCATAAACAGAACTAATTCAGTTATCAGTCTGATGGACATGGATCTAAGTTTCAGGTCTCCAGAGCATCTTCAAAGCCTCGCAAAGTTGGCTGAAAGCCACTAAATACTTACAGGGCTTCCACAGTGGGCAGCCTTAGGTAGGGTCAAATCTGAGTAAGCTTTTCCACTCTGCAACTATAATACACAGAGACCTTTGTTTCCCCTAACCAAGCTCCTAGGAGGCAAGCATCTCCGTCCCATAAACCCTCCAACCTCCACAGACAATTCACTTGTACTAAGCAGACCCAAAAGGCACAGAGGACTAACCAACCTGTCACTCATGGAGATGATGTACCCAGATGACGGAAAACTGGCAATGCCAAGGCACTTCAGGACCATCTGTGTTTGGCTGGAACCATCTTGCCTCCCAGGCCCCAAGTCCACCACCCTATGGCTGCCATCAAGCACCATCTACCCTTTAATACCTAAATCCACATTACAAGGGCAGGAAATTTGAGACTAATCAAGGTCCCCAACATCTTGATAGGATGCATCTCAAAGAATCATAGAATCATTTACGTTGGAGAAGACCTTTAAGATCATCAAGTCCAACCGCTAACCTAACACTGCCATTCCACCACTAAACCGTGTCCTTAAGTGCCACATCTACAAAATACCTCCAGGGATGGGGACTCCACCACTTCCCTGGGCAGCCCATTCCAATGCTTGACAACCCTTTCGGTGAAGAAATTTTTCCTAATATCCAATCTAAAACTCCCCTGGTGCAACTTGAGGCCATTTCCTCTGATCCTAAAAAACATGAGGTTTCTCATCTCAGAAAACCTGAGGGAATGCAGAACCACAAGTGTTTCAGCAGCTTAACTGAAACACCAGCCTAGCATGGTTTTAAGGAGGCTGTGAAACTGGAAAGACTTGTTTGTGATCACAGTGAATTCTAGTCATCTGGTCATTGAAGAATGCACAGCATGTCTGAGAAAAGTAGGTAAAGGTATTAATTTGAAATTCCAAGCCCTGACTTTGGAATGTATGCTACTGATCTGAAGTCCCTTACAATTTATCTGCTATCCTCTTCTACCTTGAGCATCTTAGTGACATGGGAAATGAAACAGATTGTGTGGTTTTCCTTTTACATCCTAAAGCAAAACTGAAAATGAAAACCAAAGCAGACATATTTCCTATACATAATCATAACATATATATTTCTTATACATATCTAGATACATGTATCGTCATGTCAAAGCACACGTTTCAAAGGATAAACTTCTCATTTTCCTGCCTTGCTATTTACCAAACAGACACTGCAAATTTATTTCTTACAAGAGAACAAAAATTGTCAAATACCTCAAGAGCTGGTAGGTCGTTGTATGGGATCACTTCGAAACCTGGCATAAAGGGTCCAAATCCATCATAGCTGGATGGGTCAGTAGAACTAGAGATAGCAGACATGGTTCTGCCCCAGAAGTTGCCAGCTAAAAACAAATGAAAAAAAAAGAGGGGGATTGTTATAAAACTGACTAAGAGCCAGAACAGTCTATAGGACATCACGCCTTCCATTTGGTAATGCATTTTAAGAGTTGTCTAACATTAGCATATTAGTGTCCTTCTCTAATTGTTAGCATTTTACATTGATGCTATAAATACATCATGTTGCTGTATCAAAAGCACATATCAAAAATGAAATAAAATTATACTATAAGACCTGGCAAGTATACAAAATAAGTACATAATCTTTGTTAGTAGCCTGAAAAACTGAAAATAACTCAGAAAGATAACATCTTCTTACGGAAGATGTACAGCTTTTACATAAATATTACTCAGTAAATGCAGAAAAAAAAAAAAAAAGGAAACATCACCCAGAATTTAGGTCCTAAAAATAAAGCTGCCAGTAAGCCTAAATCAAAAAATGTGCTTCTGCGCATTTCGAAGTTCCAGGAGAACCCATTTATATTTGTAAAAAAATATTGCGACAGTGCACTATTTCATATAGAAACATCACTAAAAGTGTCTAGGAACCAACTATCACCAAGGCTATGATATATTCATTTCAATATTTCAGTTAAATCAACATACTGTCAGCTAATCAGTACTAAGGTGCTTAATAAGACAAAGATTAAGGGTTCAATGCGTTCACAGCATTGCAAGCCTTTTCTTTCCACCACCAATTTCTTTGTGTAACTGTGATCCTAGGGGCAGAGGATGTTCTCAATCTGCCGGAAATCCTCAAGTCAATTATTAGCGACGTAGCCAGCCCTAGGCATCCCTTCCTTCTAATCGCCAGCGCAAATAGCATTACACTGCTCACCACAGCAATGCCTCCTAGCAGAACAGTCCCTGCCGTGCTTTGCTGAGGCACACGTTTGTCACCTCAGGGTTATGTTAGTGCAATCCGCTGTATCCAGAAACAAAGCCCCGAAGACTAAACGGCGTGAAGCAGAGCGGTCGACCAGCCTCCACCTTAGCACTCCGGCCTCCCTGGTGGCTCACTATCAAGCACAGAATCTACATCAAGTTCTCCAGACTGATGTTTAAACTCATTTTTTTATTCTGACCCCAGCTACCCAAGAGAGCTTTTTTTCTGCCAAAATGCTGGCTTCTGATAAGAGGATTATTATTTTGTTCCAACTACTTGGCACATAATTAAATACTGTGGTTAAGGAGATAGGATCATAATAACGGACACACATAAAGCACACCCAGCTTATCAAGATGAGAAAGAACTTACTAAAAGTTAATTGACTGAATAGCAGAACAAAATATATACGGAAGAGAAGGAGGGAGAAATATATTTGTTTCAAGAATACCCGGAAGAAGAAAAAGAAAATCTAATCTCATTGGTCCTAGAAACCATAATGCAATATTCAGCTATAAATTTAATTTATAAATGCTGTCTAATGACAATTTATGGTTCAGCTACTGTATGTAGTGAAAGTCAAAAATAGTATTTGCAGCTGTGGCAGTTAAAAAAAAAAAAAGAGTCAATATTTAACTAGTAAGCTTTATTCTAGAAGTTTTTATAAAACACAGAACCATTGAACAACACTAGAATTGACAAAAATACTTCACCTACAACCAAAGAATAGCAAATTAAAGTTATTTGAATTAGATGTAATTTTTTTTTTCTTTTTAGCAAAGCACAATTACCTTCAGGGGCAAGTAACGTCTCCCTGTTACAGAGCCAAGCAGAGCAGGCAGATAAAGGGAAGTAGTATACCACGTATACAGCCAGGAAGCCATCAGGGCCCCGTATTTACTTCAGCAATATTGCTTTTACTTCCATTATATGATCAAGACTACAATATGGCTTTACTGGGTTAATGCCAACTTCTGGAAGACCTTA